GACACTGGCTCAACTACTTCACTTTTAAATGAAAAAGTACTATGCTACCTTACTACAAAAGAATTCCACTTCAAGTTACATTAAAATTTAAATCTTTAAATAGTGAAACTAAAATTATTTTGAGATTATTACCAACTTACCAAAAGAATTTAAAAAAGATGCAACAATGTCATGGAAGTTAAGAAGCTTTGAGGGGAAAAACGTTTGATGCAATTCTCAGACAAAATATTTTAAAACCACTAAAGGCAATTATTAATATGGACAAAGAAAGTACTACTATAAATAACATCGAAATTAAATTTGCGAAAGATTATCCGTATAGAAAAATAAACGAGTTTCAACATTTAAGTACAATCAGTATAAATGAAAAAGTGTTACAATATTTATATAAGAACTTGAATACAGAACAAAAGAGCGCTTTAAACAAAATACTCAATAATTATCGCGATTTAATTTACACAGAACCCCAGGAGTTAAGTTACACTAACGTCACAAAACACGAAATAAAAACAACTACCGACAAACCAATTTATACAAAAACTTACAGATATCCTCAAATACACGAAAAAGAAGTAACCGCACAAATTACAGATATCCTGAAGCAAGGCATTATAAAAGAAAGTAACTCTCCATATAATAGCCCCTTATGGATCGTACCTAAGAAGACAGACATTACGGGCGAGAAGAAATGGAGAATAGTGGTAGATTATCGCAAATTAAACGAAATTACAACAGACGATAAATTTCCAATACCGATCATCGACAATATACTAGACAAACTTGGACGATCACATTCCAGCAAATCCTTGGCAAAGAAGAAGACCAGTTGAAAACTGTTTTTTCTACCCCCTACGGATATTATGAATACGTTCGGATGCCTTTTTTCTTAAAAAATGCTCCTTCAACATTTCAAAGACTTATTAAGTCAAGAGAAACGAAACTAAAAATCCAAATCAATAAATGTAAATTTTTCTAAAAAAAAAACCTTATACCTAGGTCACATTTTGACAGCTGAAGGCGTTAAACCTAATGCAAATAAATTAAAAACTATTTTAGAACTAAAGATTCCAAAATCCGTTAAACAAATAAAATCATTTCTCAGTATGTGTGGCTATTATCGCAAATTTATTAAGGTTTTCGCAAATGTGGCGTATCCGATGGTAAAGTTTCTAAAGAAAGACGCCAAAATAAATATAAATGATCCAAATTTTATCAATTCGTTTGAAAAACTAAAACGAATAATCACAGAAATTCTAGTATCCGGATTTTAGCAAACGTTTTGAGTTGACAACCGATGCCAGCTCTTTCGCAATCGGAGCAGTGTTGCAGCAAGCATCCTGTTTTCTTTGCCAGCCGAACTTTGAACGACCATGAGCGTAATTATTCGGTCACAGAAAATGAGCTTTTGRCTATTGTTTGGGCCGTTAAAATGGTTGTATACAAAAATGCAAGGAAAATATGCTAATCCAATGCTTTACCGATGGTTAGTAAAACTAAGCGACTAGAATCTGAATATCGATTATATTAAGGTTGGAGATAACCATGTATCAGATTTTTTAAGCAGAATATATTCTGATACTCATGAAATAAACGTAGGTAATGACCACAGTTCAAACTCTTTAAATAATAACGCAAGTGAGTATACAATTACAATTACGATAGAAGTTTAGAAACAGTAGTAAATAGATTTCCTATTCAAATTATATTTACAAGCCCTTAAAGTAAAGAATTCGAAATTATAAATATAAATTATAAAAGTTTTACATCAGTTTAGAATATCTAAGTAATAATTTAGAACAAATTTTAGAACGAAACATTTCAGGTTCAAGAATTGGAATTTATACAGATCTCGACAATGAAAAATACAATATTTTACAACCAAAAATTTTAGATATATACAAAAATAAGCCAAAGCAAAAGATATGGCTTCAGAAAATGAAACCTTTAAACAAATTCACATGTATCATAAAAATGAAACAGGTCACACTGGTATTAATGAAAACTACGAAGGATTTAAAAAATTTATATATTATCCAAATTTAAAAACTTTGATACAGAAGTATATTAATAATTGCGATACATGCAATAGAATAAAATACGATCGCAAACCAGTGAAACCTAAGTTCGCAATGACCGAGACCACAAAAGAAAAGAATCAGCTCATACATGTGGACATTTTCTCGAATTCAAAATCAAATTTTTTAACATTCATAGATCGCTTTTCAAAATTTGGTACTACCTACTATCTTGAGGACAGATATCAGGAAACAATAATTGAGAAACTAAGACAATACCAACCACAGAAAAGACATTTTTAAACATTGATAACAGACAACGAATTTAAAAGCGTAAACATTAGGCATTACCTCAGAACAGAATTACATCTAACAAAACCAAATAATCACACTGGAAACGCCGATATTGAGAGGTTACATAATACACTAATTGAAAAAAATTAGGATGTTAAACAGAGAAAATAAYTTGTTAGGCATTAAAGAAAAAGTAAGCAAATCCATTGAGTACTAAAATAATTCATATCATTCATTACAACAGAAAACCAATTAATGTAGAATCAGGAAATTGTAATAAAACAAATATGTACACAAAAATAATTAATGAAAAGAATAGATATTTGAATAAAAGAAATCTGCTTAGAGAAAATTATCAAGAAAACAGGAATTACATAAAAATTATTAAAAAAATGTTCGTCATAAAGAACAACCGAAGTTTATATTTAATGAATTGATTAATATACATGCTACAAATATTAAAAGAAAATATAAATTTCATGATAAATTTAACATAGAAGAACTTACCTAAAAAGACAAAAAAAAATTAATAAATGGATTACAAACACAAACCAAAAAATAATAATAGCTTAATAGATACATATATATGTAAAAACAAAAAAAATGCACAAAAAAAAATTAAACATGTTATGGATATATGAAAATATTCGATTTATTTAATTATAAAAATTTTTGATTGCATTAATTCTATTACTGATTACTTATGATATTATATCACAATTCATGTAAACTTTATTTTAACGGGGGGGAAGTTACGTAGCCTAACATAACAGTCTGGCAACTATCCTTCCGTTAATATCATTACGATATATAATTCATATGTACGATATTAAGGTCTCGTATAAGCTTTATAAGAATATTATAAGTCAGTCTTGGGATTCATTTCACAAATAAATGTTGTACAGAGAACGTTTATAATAGAGAAGGTTCACGGCGCGGAGATCGCAAAAATATTTTTCGCTAACTCGGTCGAGATGGAAGAGTTTCAGCACTGCCAGCTCGGCAGGAGAAATTTTAACATTTTCGTTTGAACAGAGCTGAGCGTGAAACAAAAATTATGCTCAAAACTATATATTGCGCTAGCAGACGTATGTTCGCTCTTTTACCTATATTTCTATACGGTTTACATGCAGACATGTGTATTCATATGAATTCTTTTTGTGCATATTTATGAATGCAGGTGCAATTGAATACACTTTAATTAAA